TCACAGATTTCCAAAGTAATTGGTCACAGATTTTTTACGGTCACAAATTATATAATTTTTAGGTCACAGATAAAAAAATGGTTAATTTCATTGGTCACATATTTTCAAATTTGTTGGTCACAGATTATTTTTCAGTCACACATTGTCAAATTTTTAGGTCACAGTTAAATACTTGGTCACAGATAACCAAATATTTGGTTACATACCACAACACTACTTCAGCAATCATCACCACACAAAACACCGCCACCACCTACAGCCACCAAACAAAGCACCACAACCACCCAACCTACCAACCTACCACACACTCCAGCCTGGTCAAAACCCACACACCCACGCCGCCAATACTACCGCACTGCACCCACAGCGCGCAGACACACCCACCACCACCGCAGCATTCAGCTACAGACTATCAACACCACCACCAACCAAATTTGAACCCACCACAAACCACATCTGTAGTCAAACACCTCATCCACTTCGCCGGCTGCCGTTCACAGCACACACACACACACCCCCACTGAACAGCAGCCGGCAGCTACGAACGACACACACCTTGCGAGCGCCAGCGTCACGCGATCCACCACCACAGCGACCACCCCAACAAAGATCCATTGCAGATCGCGAGAAGAGGCACTGTGAAACGGCGCAGAGAATGGAAAATGTGTGCGGCGGTGCAACCACCACCACACCGCACCACCGTCTATACCGCATGAACCATCAACCACCACAAAGTAAAACAACCAACAAAAAATTGAATAGCTTACAAATCAAAACAAGCAACTGAAAAGGGAGAGAGGGGAGAAGAGGCGGGGGAGAGGGAAGGGGAGAGGTGACGGATTTAAATCGCCAACGCCGCTTCGAATCGCTCAACGCTCCATCGACGATGGCCGGACGTGGGTAGACGTTGTCGCCGCTTGTTGTCATTGATTGGGGTGAGAGAAACGACGGTAGAGAAGAGAGAAAGAAGGTAGGTCCGTCGAAGAGAGAGAGAGAGGCGACGGGAAGAGGAGGGTAGAGAGAGAAACAGGAAGATGAAAAATGATTTAGGGTTTTGAATTGGGTAGGGTGGGAATAATATTTAATTTTTAAATCAATACCTGAATTTTGATTAAAAAATTTTCTCACTTGATTTTTGCACCCTAATCTTTAAACACCTATTTTTTTTATAATTTTCCCAAAATAGATTGCAATTGGTGCAAGTTAGTTTGGGCTTCAATATACTTGGGCCAAAGATTTATGGAAAGTTGCCCCCATAATGATTTAATTTTAGTTGGGCCTAATGTGTGAGCAAAATCACAATGATTGATATGTTTGGCGTCCATTTTCACAAAAAATTATTTTTCAAAAACTCAGTTTTAATCACACATTATCTTATAAAATAATATTACACGTAAATCAAAAAATTTCTTACTTTTTAACCCCACAATTTCCAATAATATAGGGAAATTATAAAAAATAGGTGTTTAAAGATTGATTTTTAAAAATCAGGTCTACAATTTATTTATTCAAAAATCAGGTACTATATTAAAACCCTAATTCATAACCTAATTTATCTCTCATCCCTTCCTCCCCTTTCTCTCTCGTGCCTCCATCATCTTCCCTTCTCTCTCCTTCCCCTACTTCTCTCTCCCTCGTTCTCTCTGCGTTCGACGTTGCTGTCGGTAGTGTCGCAATGACGTTGCTTAGTTCGCGGCAACTCCGCGACGCTACCGAAGTGAACGGCAGCGTGGTGGTGTTTTGTACACAGCAGTGTAGTGTTGATAGTCATCCGGCGACGGTAGTGTTTTATGTGGTTGGATGCGATGGTGGTAATGGTGTGTTGTGTGGTTGGATGGGACGGTGGTGGTAGTGTTTTGTGTAGTGGTGGTGGTGTTTGTACTGATTGTCGTGAGGCCGTGGTGGTGATGGCGACGCTGGGGTGAGGGTGGTCAAAAGTGACTGAAGTGGTAATGTCAGTGGTATGTGACCAATTATTTGGTTATCTGTGACCAAATATTTAACTGTGGCCTGGAAATTTGACAAGATGTGACTGAAAAATAATCTGACCAATAAATTTGAAAATATGTGACCAATCAAAATAACTATGACCTATAATTTTTTGAATTTGTGATCTCGAAATCATCATTGACTAATTAATTTAATAATATGTGACCAATAAATAAATTGTGACCTATAATTATGTATATGTGACCATTAATTGTATAATTGTGACCTAATTAATAAATATTTTTAATTAATTAACTAAATACCTAAGTTTTGTATTTTTTAACCTTAATACCTTATTTTTGAATGGGTGAAACATAAAACCTGATTTGTGAATTCTTCCAATAAAATACCATTTAAAAATGCATTTTTTGCCCAAAAATGAGGCTCCAACAAGGGCTAAATTGCATCGGGCCTAGTAAACCTCTTATAAATACTTGGCCTATTGGATCTTTTATTTAACTTTTAGGCCATGTAATTGTCTTCTACTACAATGGTCAGCTGGAGTGCTGGACATACTAATTGTTATTTTGTTTTGGGTCTTCATTATGAGCTTTTGCATAATTAGGATCGAGCGAAGCATTTAGGCTCCTTGGATGCTTCCATTTCTCCTGGATCTGTTTCTTCTACTTCAGCTGCGATAGTTACTTCACCCTCACAAATTTATGAGGTTTGTTAAGTCTGCCATTTTCTATTTATTATGAACTCTCCTCCAATAGCCCATGTAAGATCGCCGAACAACAGAGTGATGGCAGTGGTATGGCATCACCTATATTTCAGCTGAAAAAAGGCAATATTTTCCTTCAATTAGATACAATTATTGCTTCTATGAATGGTAGCCTGCCATCATGTTCAAATTCACTATAATCTCATTATGCATTGGAGGTTTGGGAGTAACTAATATCATCCTCAAGTTGACACCACACAAGAAATTTGAGAATAATTTCCCTTCTTTATTGATTTCTTGAAGCCATGGACTACAGCTTAGGTAGAAAATACAAAATCACGAATGAGCACACCAAGCGTTCGATAAAATGCTTAGCTCGAATCTCTCTTATTCAAAAGTTATTTTAATCATCTCTATTATTCAAGGGAAACTCTAAGAGGACTAACTTGTAAGACCTCGCATTTTTTAGGTGAGCCTTAGCTCATGGATTTCTTATTATCAGAAGCATAACTTTGAAGTCTTCATTCATTAAATAAAGGAAGAGGTAAATCGACATATGCTTATTTCTTGTCTTTCACTATCATCAAGCCTAGCTATAAGCCATCGTCTATTCGATGCCAGCTTATAAGACTTTGATAGTTCGAGAGCTATTCACGAGATGTTTATTCCTTATCTCGCTGATGCTTATTCCTAATTTCGCGAGATGTTTATCCCTCGTCTTTCACTTCGTCGAGCCTAACTATAAGACTTCGTCTACCTGAGGCCGCTTATAAGATTTAGATAGTTCGAGAGTTATTTGCGAGATGTTTATTCCGCGCCTGGCCAGATGCTTATTTCTGGCTTCGCGAGATGTTTATTCCACGTCTCTCACTATAGTCGAGCCTAACTATAAGACATCGTCTATCAGATGCCAATTTATAAGACTTCGATAGTTATTCAAAAGATGTTTATTTTTCGGCTCGTCAGATGCTTATTCTTAGCTTTGCGATATATTTATTCCTCGCCTCTTATTATTTTCAAGCCTAGCCGTAAGTCCTCGTCCTTCCAGGCCAACTTATAAGACTTCGATAGTTCAAGAGCTATTCACGATTTATTTCCTGCCTAACCAGATGCTTATTATTGGCTTCGCGATATGTTTATTCCTCACATCTCACTATCATCGAGCTTAGTTATAAGACCTCGTCATCTCGAGACCAGCTTATAAAACTCTGATAGTTCGAGAGATATTCACGGGATGTTTATTCCTCGTTTTGCCAGATGCTTTTTCCTAGTCTCGTGAGATGTTTATTCATCGTCTCTCACTATTATCAACTTAGCTATAAGACCTAGTCTATCCGAGGTTAGCTTATAAGACATCGATAGTTCGAGACGTTCCGTCGCTCGATATTCATTTCTCACTTCGCGAAAAGCCTCACCATATGCATTATAGATGCATTTACATTCAAAAGAGCTCGTCATGCCTCTGCATCGACTACATTACAGCTTCATGTGGTTTAGTTATGTCACATCTACTTATGTTCGAAGAGTTTATATTATTTATCGCTTCTTAAAAAGAGGGGTAGACCCTCCTTAATAACTCCGAAGACTAAGCTTTACATGGTTGGATCAAACACCATGGAAAAAACCCTTGACATGGTGCGCCATCCCATGTAAGGATGCCATCTTATTATATGTACTTATGTCTAGAGCATCGCCTCTATTACTTACATTCAGAGTATCGCCTCTGCTACTTATGTCTAGAGAATAACCTATGCCACTTATGTCTAGAGCACCATCTCTACAACTTATGTCCAGAGCATCGCCTTTGCTATTTATACATTTAGAGCATCGTCTTTGCTACTTATACATTCAAAGCATTGTCTCTGCTACTCAAGGCCGGACCTAAGGAGAGGTCCAAGAGGCCTCCGCTTCAGGCCCAGATTTTTAAGGGGCCCAAAAATTTTGTTTTTTCCTTTTTTAAAACCTACTAAGTCTTCAATAAGGCAAAAACATACAACTACAAAATCATTAAATGGCAAAATCTCGAGAAATCGAAAGGCAAAACAAGACCATAGCGGGGCGCACCAGTGGGATTATGAAGTATTTTTAGCTTCAGGTGGAATTCCGGTTATTGTCGCTGATACTAGCTCTAACGATTAGTAGTGGCCGAAATGGTAACAAGCCAGAAGCCATTGAGAGGTAAACAAGTAAACTTTTTGAATCTGTGAATTTCTACTTGACAGTTTATGATGATTTGATTTTTCACGCTTTATTAGGAACTCAGGGAGTTTATTGTCTAATGAATTGATGGAAATGGGGGTTATAAAGAATAAAGGGGAATGAAGTGAAATGACCACCCTACAATGTTTTTTTGTTCAAATGGCCTTTGACCAAATTCTTTAAAAGAAAAGAAAACTTAATTATTTAAAAGTATGAAAATACCACTTTATCCCTCTGATGTAAAACAAAATTAAAGAAAGAAGGAAGGCTTTCTTTCACGTCAAAAGTCATTCTTCCCCAAATTGAAAATTGAAAATTGAAAAATGTGTCCTCCTTCAAATTCTAAATCCATTCTTCCTCAAATTAAATATTGAAAAACATTTTGTCCTTCAAATTCCAAAAAATTGTCTTCTCCTTTATATTAAAAATCATATTTTTTTCTGAATTGAATTAGTTCTATGTTTTTTTTGGATTTTTGTTGAGGAAGAGGGTGAAGGTGAAGGTGGGACGTTGCCTTTTCGGTGGACAAACTTCTGCAGCGAGCGCCTTATAGGTTTCTTGTCACGGATGCTTTGGAACCGAAACATCTCATTATTTACATTAATTATGTGTTCGAGATGGTTACTGGGTACCGTGCAGAAGAAGTTCTTGGCTGCAATTGGTTAGTTTTTTTTGTTTTTTCATTTTTTGGGATTTTTCACCTTCTCTATTTATTATCGTTAATTATCAAATTTATGGATAGAGAATTGAAGGTTAGATGTTCAAACCAAATGTAAACACGGAATTAGCAATGTCAAACCAACATTCATCTCTTTCTTTGTTTTGATATTTTGTTTTAGATTTCTCCTTTTCTTTTTTTTTTTTATCAGTAATTAGAAACAGAAAAATTAGACTAACATTTTACGTTTATTTTGGTTCCCAGGTACAAGAATTCCACGAAAGTTCTGGCAGAAGGAAAACCAGCAAATATTTTTCTAAAGATAAACAAAATGTGAAAAATAAGATGGAAGTTGAGGAGGTTTCAACAAAAAGAAAGGCCCAAAGGGGTAGTGAAGAGTCAGGCAATGATGTCAAACCCTCACCTGGGAAAGAAGTTCACAAAGTCGAGGATGACGATGATGATGAAGATTTTGTCATGCCTTTTAAGAGGGTATCAATTGATGCCACTTGGAGCAAGAAATTGAAAAGTGTGGTGGGTAAGGGAGTTGCTCAAAAGCTTACTGATGAAAGTGACGAAGATGACGCTGGAAAAGCAAAATCTAATCTCAAACCTATTGGTACGACTAGTGGAGGGGAAAATGCTTCAACCAGTCTAACTACTACCACAGACATGGATGCTGATGGAAGTGATAAAGAGGATATTGATGCTAAAACCAAAGATTTAGCACAAAAATCATACAGATTGATCAAAGTGACGATAAAGACTAAAAAAATCCCAGGCGTTACTAACTTTCGCGACAAAGGTCTATTACCCATTTCAATAGCGAAGCTTTCAGGCTCATCTAGAGGTATACCTTCTGAATGAGACTTCCATTTCTACAATAATTTTCAAGAATTTGGGAACTCCGTTAAGGAAATGGAACAGAAGTCGGAATTTTGCTGAAGTGACTGAGGAGTCGAAAAATTTGTTTATGAAGCCAATTGCATGTTCGGATGCTATAAACATTGAGTTAGATAATGATGTAGAGTACGATTGGCTCATGAGTGTGAATGCTGATATTTTTGGAACGTTTGATGGAGTCGGATGAATTTAAGAGGTTGCAGAATAAGGAAGATGAGAGTGGTGTGAGAATGATGAGGGTTGATGGCAAAGATAAATGTGGAGGAGGTGAGTCAGGGAGTGTTCAAGAAGTTAACGTGGCGCGAAAAGTAAAGCCAAAAGTTCCATTTCATATTTCAATTACTAGGAAGCCACAAGAATAGTAAAGATCATCATAAACAATTCAAATTGGTCGTATGAGCATGTCTGGTTGCCGATGAGTAAGGATAGGTCTAGATTCATAAATCCCTTGGTTAGTATTATATTTTTCCTTTCTAAATGGTTCACTCGTGCATTTATTTGGTTGTAAAATGATCAGAATTAGGAATTTTCTTGATAATATGAACAATTAGATTATGAATATGCTATGATGTATATTTTCAGAATTTTATTGTGTGGTGAATGATGGCAGGTGGATGGCTATTACCAAATTTGATTTCTTTTAAAAAGATGTTTAAATTGTGGCACTTTGTTAAACAAGGTTGATATTGTGCACATTCACGTAACTACATACATTTCCTTCATGTGACACGTACTATATTTGTTAAACAAGGTTGATATTGTGCATATTCACGTAACTACATACATTTCCTTCATGTGACACGTAATATATTTAATATCGTTCTAGTACAAAAATACACAATCATTCTAATAACGACATTGAAATCGTTCCTGAAGTACAAAATGATATATATATCGTTCCAATACGAAAAGTGAACTGATCTTCGTAACGATATTGAAATCGTTACCGTAACAAAAAACGACTTGATATCATTTTAGTATGAAATATACGTTGATTTTCGTAACGATATGGACATCGTTTCTGTAATAAAAAACGACTTCAATATCTTTTCAGTATGAAATGCATACTGCTTCATTGATTTTCATAACAATATGCAAATCGTACCCATAACAAAAAACGACTTAAATATCGTTTCAGTTATGACTATTAATAACGACATTGATGTCGTTCTTTAAACAGGGCGCACGCCATCTTTGCAGGCTTAAGTGCGCACCTGGATGACTATTACGTCATCTTCAACTAAGTCTTCCAATTAATTACATCATAGGTCATTCAAAGACGTAGATGTCGTTTCTTCCCATATAAAACGACAACGATGTTGTTTTAGTGTCAAACAACGAAACAAAGTAACGACGTCCATATAGTTTCAGTATAAATTTGTCGAGTTGGAACTCGTTTAAGTTAAAATCGTAACTAGAACGACTTATATGTCGTTTCTTCACACATAAAATGACCTATTTTAACAGAAACGATATAATTATCGTTTTATATAAACTAAAACGATATATATGTCGTTTTAGTTATGATTTAAACTGAAACAATATCAATATCGTCAAAATTGTACTCAAACGATATGGAAATCGTTGTGCATCAAATCCACAAAATAACATAACGACGTCCATATCATTTCAGTACAAATTTGACGAGTTTGAAACCGTTTCAGTTCAAATAATAACTACGACGACATAGATATCATTTCTTTTCATGTGAACAAATAATTATATCGTTTTGGCTAAAAATAACGATTCGATCATCCACAACAACCCAGCATGCCTTCAACATATGTAGGACGATTGAAAAATGTCATCAAGTAGGTTGATGTCCCTCGAATTACTTAGAAAGAACGAACGAAGATACTTTTTTCTATCGGAATAGTTCATAAGTTGTATATAGTCATGAGAACACAAATATTCACATAGTTTCTTTTGAGTGAGATCGAACTCACTTGATGACCTTTGTCGATCATCCTACATATGACGAATGCATGTCGGGTTGTCGTGGACAGTCGAATCGTCGTTTTTGGCAAAAACTATGTAATTATCGTTTTGTATGAAAAGAAACGATATATATGTCATTCTAGTTATTATTTGAACTAAACGGTTTCAAACTCGTCAAATTTGTACTGAAACGATATGGACGTCGTTATGTTTTAAACCCAGTAACATAACGACGTACATATCGTTTCAATACAAATTTGACGAGTTTGAAATCGTTCCAGTTCAAGTAATAACTATAACGACATAGATATCGTTTCTTTTCATATAAAACGATAATTATATCGTTCTGGCTAAAAATAATGATTTTA